AGGGGGGCGGGTACAGCTGGCTCCGCCTCTAGATAGGCAGAGCCAGCTGTCAGTCACGCAGCTGAGCGGATCCCGGCACAATTGTCGGGATCCGTCCCGGCTGCGGCGCCTCAGTATACCACGAGCTGTAGCTCCCTATATACTGAGCTTAGGGTGACGGGAGGACGCCAGTTTGTGTCCTCCCGTTACCCTAAGGAGAACTATGGGGAAGAACACTGACACCATAGTTCTCCTTTAATAGAGAACACGAGTGATAGGCAGTCCGTTGTACATGGGGGCAGACGGGGCTGGGGGGGAAATTCCGGGAGATACAATTGTATAATGTACCATGAAAATACCTCATGTGACATCTGTGCCTCGGTATGCAATGCTCATTAACCCCCGTATGTAATATAAGAAGGACCCAGGAGTCTGGACAATGCCGGGAATGTCCCCACGAATCCCACTGCTTGGGGGAGCCAGGTGCCGGGACAAGATGGCACCTGTTAGGCTAGAAGACCATCAACAATGGAGGAGGAATTAGAGGAGATCAGGGATGAGCACTCCCGTGTCTGGCCTGGCTGGACTTATTGGTTGGTCATCAGAGGTGACCAGCAAACCTCAGACCGACAGCTCTGCATTCCCCCAACATTCCGGAGACATCTGCTCACCTTTCCGTGTCAATACATGTGATCGCCTTCCATATATCCGATCAATAACCTGATCCCCGTACCCGCAGATCAGATTCCAGCAAAGGTAGCGTGGCAGCTGCACCCACTTCACGCGGGATGAATATTTGGCCGGCGCCATTTTAGTGGCGTCTCCGAAGGAGCGAAGACTGATCAATTACATGGAAATCCAAGGCTTTCCGCCCACGCGTTCACATCTGAGCTGCCAGCAGAAGTGTCTGGGCCACTTTTCACCAGAACTACGGCCTCCCATTAAAAATAGTCCAGCGGCACCTCCAGTTTTCTCTTAGTTCTCCTACTGAGACCCACAAATACATGTTTGACCTGGTCACTGAGGTCCATCTAATGCAGCTTCCTGTGATGGGGTGACAAGGATGCTGCACTGCTCCTGAATTCAGAGCAGAGTTGTCACGGTCATGTAGGCTGTGCCTGCTTACACTACAGTGGGAGGAGCAGACATTGCAAGAGGCGTGAAGGGGAGGACGGAGGTCAGATAGAAGACTGAAGGGGAGGACGGAGGTCAGATAGAAGACTGAAGGGGAGGACGGATTTCCCTTGGAGATGAAATGACAATTGCTGGATATGGGGGAACTTTCTATGGTTCCTGGGTGTTGGAAATGATTGGTGAAGTTGTGTTCACCTTGTAAAGATCTCAGTGCTTCTCTCTGGCCCTTCCCCCTACAAGACGCCCCCCTCCGGTCCTCCTGTTCACGCGTCTCCGGCTCCAAGCCCTCGTACGCTTCTGGGCACCGTTGAACACAGACTGCCTGACAAATATCGGGACTATGCCGACGTTTTTGAGAAAAAGGGAGCAGGCGCCTTGCCGCCACA